GAATGTTTCCATGCATCAACCGCAGCCAGTTTCTCAACATCAGAATCTTCCTCCGTGTATGAAGGTGCGTCTTCTTTGAGAAATTTTGCCAAACTTAATGTTGTCAGATAAAAAAGCATTTTTTGTTGCCAACGCTTAAAATCTGACCCATTAAATTTTTCTGACTTTTCTATACTACTATTAGGGAGTGTAGTATCAGGAGTTGTCATTTCTGAAACACGATCATAAGATCAACGAGAAGGAGTAGAATCAGAATAAATTAAAAAATATAAATTCATTTTAAGATTGTTATTTCTGGACAATTTATTCCTCTCCAATTTATTCTCTACCATTATAGCAATCTTCTGAAATACTAGCTTCACCTGAAGCTTTTGATTATTTTTCTTTCCGATTTGTAACTAATTTTTTCTTATTCTTCAACTATAACAATCCTTCTTAATGTGTCCCATTTTATTTCAATAATTACATATTTTATTACTGTAATTAAACTTTAATCTGCCCCTCACATCATCACCATGAATAACAAGGTTATCTCCATGAGCATCAGATTCAATAAGATGTTTCATCTTCTCCTTTAAAAATAAATTATCTTATATTTTTTTCCATGGAGAGAGTATCACGATTGTATAAAATCTGTCTCTAAAAGACATATACAAAGCATGCAGTGAACATAATAAAGTCAACACTAAATCTTTTTCGTCATAGTTAACATCAAGTTTCCATATCAGCAACAACTTTCCAAAAAATAGTTGGTGATCTTCCAATGATACACCTTCTGTCATAGAATGAGAATACAATCGTTACTTCAAATGTAATTTGTTGATTAGACTTTTCGTCATGCATAATTTGCTCCAATTTTAACATAATGCAACAACGAATTTCTCCTTTAAAACATCCGAGAAATATGATTCGAAAGATGAAGATGAATATGTCATAGAGCATTTCGATCCTTACGTTGTTTCTCCTCCAACGTTCAAGTTCAGGGCATTTTGTTAAATTCCAACAAAGTATCATCCAAATCCATTTAATCTAGCACTGCTCGTATCTTTACCTACCATAATTAAAATCTTGTGTTTCGATCCAAAAGTGGAATATTATACTTAATGATTTCCATCACAAAAAATCAAACCTCGAACTGAATTGATCGAACCTCACTCTGATACCACTTGATGACAAACTAACCTATTGGTATACGCTATGATACTACTTGTTAGAAAATAAAGGAACGAGAATAATATGGACAATATAAAAATAACAATTAAGAACACAAGACTTTACGTGGAAAAATCAGTGGCCATCGAGCGGTGGCTGACTACTCCAGCGATTGCTTTATGGTAAGTGAACATTGGAACTCCTGTTTTGAGACCTTGAGCGGGATCAAGGGGCTTAGCTAGCGTCATTCGACATTTCTTTCTCCTTGCACGATTTCTTCCTCTCTTATTACAACTGGACTCCCTAAAGTATTCTTCAAGTCCAACACAAATTTCAAATTTCCAATTGAATTCTAACTAGAATTCCCAAAGAGACTTCAAATAGAATTCTCAAATAGTCTTTCATATAGAGTTCGGGTTATACCATAATTCTAACAAGAAGAAATCAAGGAGCCAATGAAGAGATTCAAGATTCAAGACTATTTTCCATCATTTTTCCTAATTCTCAATTCAGGGTAATGTTTATTAATTATTTTGCGTTCTTATAATTAATTCGATATTTGACTAATTGAATAGATGCTAGGAACCTATTTTTAAAATTTTGATATTTAATTCTGGATTTCGACATTAAAGTATGTTGAATGTTGTTTGATTTTGAATGATTGATAGTTACTTAATGTTTTTCAATCTTGTAATTTCTATTGACATTCAAAAAAATGAATAGAAATTTGACATGTAGTAACAATTATTGTAAA